AGTCAACTTCAGCTAATTTCTAACCGTCTAGTTTCAGAACGGAACTCCGCGACACCCAGTCTTGTAGCACCACTTTGCACTTTGAAGGTGCAAACCACATGCCGAACGGAGCAACAGAACTTGCTAATCTGAAAAGTGCTCTTTGCGCATCCTCCATGGATTCGAACAGGCAAACGATGTCATCAGCGTACTCCAAATCGCACAGCTTTTCTCCGGCTGCCCATTCAATACCTACATTTTGGAGACCACTTAGTGTGTTCTCCAATATTTCGTCTATGACAAAATTGAATAGGAATGGCCAAAGAGGGCACCCTTGACGAACATTGCTGCTAGTTACGAACGACCTACTCAGCTCGTCGGAGACCCTTATGCTACCAGAAGTATGTGAGTAGAGTGAAATCAGTATATTCACATACTTCTGCGGCATTCCTTTGCGAAATAGTGAACCCAAAAGGGACTCACGGTCACCTGAGTCGAAGGCTCCTTTTAGGTCAAGGAACACGACAAGCGTTGGTCGACGGTGTGTATGGCGTAGCTCGAGGACTTGAGGCAGAGTGAAGATTTGGTCGATACAATCGTGGCCCGGTCGAAATCCTGCTTGTTGTTCGCGGATGTTCGTCTCCCTAAACGGTGTCAGACGTCGAAGTATAATGGAGACTAGTAACTTGGTGACGATTGGGATCAAACTTATTCCACGGTGGTTGTCGCAATCATTGCGAGACCCATTCTTAAGAATTGGAACAATCATTGATTCGCTTCAGGATGATGGAATGCGCTCATGTAACCAAATGTTACGCATTAAATCAGTAATATAGTCTATAAGGTCATCGCCCCCCCCATCTTGAAGAGTGGGAGGAAGCCCGTCTGGCCCTGCCGCCTTTCCTTTCTTCAAGGTTTGGATGCAAGAACCTCTGCAGTAGGAGGTTCAGATGACACTGCCCATGGAGCCTCAGTTACATCGGAGATAGCTTGGTTAGCGCCTGGCCAGCTGAACTGCTCGTTGAAGTACTTCGCCCACCGGTCAAGCTGTTGTTCCCCATTGTGAATAGTTTGCCCATTTTTGTCGCAGATTGTTTCACTAATTGTGGTTCGCCGACCACCCGTATTGCGTATCAGTTGGAAAAGTTTCTGACTATTCCCTAATGCAGTCTTACTTCCATTTCGTTAACAACCGTTGCCCACCAGTTCTCACGGTCTTTCTTGAGGCTCCTCGTGAGATGACGTAGACGCCATCTAACTCTGCCTTGATCCCGGGTGGTTGGGATTTGCTGCTTTTTCTCCATCAGTGCTACTGACTAATCAGATATCACATGCCTCGGGCGGATACTGCTTCAGATCCACAAGCAACGTTCGCTGCGGAGTGCATTGCTCAGTTAATCTGATTCCATTGTTCATCTATACTACCACCCAGCAGTGCGTTTAGTTCTTGCCCTAGCTCTGGTTCAAAACGGGCATGAATGGCTGAGTCAGATAAGCGACGATCTGCCAATCGAGTTTGGTGGGATTTTCTGCAACCAGTGAGTTGGAGTGAACTGCATCAAAACTAACGCATGATCAGATTCAACGCAGGTGGTCCAATAGGACCTGCAGTTTTGTACTGAGCCACGCCAACGGTAACTTACTGCTATGTGGTCTATCTGAGTTAGTGTGCCAGTTGAATTTGAGCGCCACGTTGCTGTCCGTTGAGAGGTAAGTTGGAAGTTGGTACTGGATAGGAACAGAACTGAAGAAGTCGATCGCCATTATCTGTTTGCTGGCAGGGCAGAGCACAATGACCACCTAGGCAAGCTTCCGATGCGCTCACTTTTCTAACTTGAGCCTTAAAATTACCTGAGAAAACAACTATATCGGAGCTTAGACTCAACTGAATGAGTTCGGTGAGTTTATCATAAAACTCGTCCTTTTATGCGTCAGAACTGCAATTGATCGGAGCATACGCAACGACCTTTGGCGAGTGACGAACAAGTTGTTTAAGGGAATATTACAGGTCGGAAGAAGGGGCGAAGAGATAGCGTCGGGTACGGAAGACAAAGAGTTAAACAAAGGTTGGGATATCTGAGCAGTAGCCCACTTATCACTACCCACCCCGCTCGATGCAATGGGCAACGCGGTCCTGATTATCCTGCGCGACGACCGATGCAGTATGGAATTATTTTTTGGTTGTGGACGAATATCTGTGGCTAATGGTTGTTCAAACTGAACTGAGCTGTGGACGACCTCAATTGCCTAAAACTCTACGCCTAACTTTAGCATTGCTCGTCCGGTTTCCTCACCAGACTCGTGCAATGCTACGTAAACAACGGTGTTCGAACACCGACAACCTATTTTTATCCTGTTCCCGTAATGGCCAAGTCTCTGCACCGGAAAGCAGCACTGGCCGAACTGCTGCAGCATATACTCGACCTTTCACGGCGTCACAAATGTCGCAAGTTGGTAAAAGCCAACCGAGGCTTTAGTATGTGCACCGACAATTCTGTGATGCGTCCTCCAGGTGAGATATAGCTGCCCAGATAGCAAAACTGGCCACGTTCAACAAAACGTGTTGGGAGTGAATACCGTAAGCAAAATATGAGTCGAGTGCGCGAACGCGCATGGAGGTCTGTGACGTGATTAGCGATCTCAGCACAGCGTACCTGGCATCGTTTGAAGGCGTACAACAGCCGAGCCCGGTTGATCCACTCCTGCCTAAGCGCATTCAGAGCCAGATCCAACGTGGACGGGGGTAGAGGTGGATTGAGATTAATTAATCGAATCACACCTTGTGTGTAGGTTGATAGCGCAGTTGATGCAGGCGACGGTGGACTGAGGTCGCGAAATTTGGCCTCGTCATCCGGTGGGGACGGATTCAGATGAAACGGAGCAAATACCGGGTCACTTGAAGGGAGCATGGAATCTAGCTTGAAATGTAACTGAAAAACGGAGGGGAGGGGAGAAACACACATGAAAGCGATTCGATAAAGAAAAACAATAAATGATAAAATTCCCAACCGGCAAGGCAAGCGACACACCATCCACATTTCAGTCAAGTACGGGACAGCTCGTCACATGGATCCTCTAATGAACAATACTCGTTACCGTCACTCTTAGGCGACACTGGTAAATTTATATATATATATATATATATATATGAGGGCTGTAAATAAGGAAATTTCGACATAAATGAGATTTTTATTCGGCAGAAATAGATGCCAGCAGGGCGTATTCACACCAAAGCTGTGCTTGTTTCGCACATGCTTCTGTGCGGAGCAATGACAGCAGGAATGCCCAGTAGTCACAAGAGCTTATTGCTCGCTCAGGATGACCGGCAACACTGAGCCCTCCGGAGGAATGAACCAATGACTTACTGGGAGAGAAAAGGATGATCCGGGTTCTATGCTGTGTGACACCCAGGAACAAGCCATCGACAGGCTGAGAACAGAAACCAAAGAGAACAAATAAAATGCAAAAGTGACCACACCTAGGACGTCATTTTATGAGCCGGTATTGACTGACTCTGGACCAGTATCCCGAGTAAGGTGTATAAAAATACCTGGGGGTTTTCAACGACGC